CATATGAAGTTGGAACTTCAGCACATCAAACGCCACGATCTCCTTTCCTCTTAGCAGCAGCTCTTCAGTTCTTCCGCTTCACTCCGCTTCCCTCCGCCTTGCTCCAGGAAGCCACTGCTGGGCTACTTTGGGGAGCCGCTGCTGTTGTCCGTGGAGGCCTCCGTGCGACAGCAGTGGTTCCAGCAGTTTCACCAGATGGCCACGGATCCCCAGAGCTTCTTCGCATGCGTCTCGGCAGACCACGGATCAACACGACCTCCCCTGTCCGTGGTGACAGGTTGGAGCCAATGAGTTCCATGCTGTGGGAGGTTGGAGCTGAGAACAGGTGTCATACTGCGGAGTTGGTTTGGAATGTGCAGCGCGCCCAGTTCAAAGGTGCGTGCGTTGAAACCAGCATTCTTTTTCCCAATGGGGGGGACACAACGCATTTAGGATGCACATCAACGCTTCCATCAAAAACAACAGAACTGTTAGCTACAAAGCTACAAGCAAGACTTGTTTCTTCACATTTACTCCGCAAATCTTACACTAGAACTGTTCCTAGAAACCAATAAGCATGAGGGTAATATATGGAAACCACATAACACATAAGTGCAAGATAGTGCAAGCTGAGTCGCTCATGTATTGAAGGAGAACGAAGGAGGCTTCCCCAACGCCCGGCCTTTGATGCAGCCGAAACATCAACGTGTTCCATGTAGACATCGAGGCTACAACCCCTTCTTGTCCTCGATGATCGAGTATCAGACGGGCCTTCAGCTGCCCACGATCCGGCTCCATGGGCTCTACACCCAAGTGCGCCACCGAGACGTGTGGGCAGATGCCACACGAGGGAAGCAGCTGCTGGTGCTGAAGGGGCCCAATATTTGCTTGGACTCAGCCACTGGGAGGGAACTGGCGAGGGAGTGCCCGGTAGTAGGTCTGTGTCCAAAGGTGCTTGGGTGAAGACCCTTTGGGGGGGTTGTGCAGCCTTGAGGGAATTCAGGGATCTCGCATTTGGTTATATTCAAGGTTATAGAGGTTGATCTGAAGGAAGGGATCCCTGGCAGGGATCCGGGGCAGGGACATTCAAGAAACGCTCTTGTACAGATTGTTTATCAATTTTGTGGTTTGGAGGTTCAATCTAAGAGGAGCCCATCATGGATGGACTCGCATGCACCATTGATGGCCTCAGGCTCAGGTGCTTGACCTGAATCCAAAGGGTTGAGCGAGCCGCTGTGGGGTTGAGGGGCCATGGGATGTTGCAACGATTTGGGGTTGGCTGGGGGGTGCTTTGGCAGAATCAGGTGGGTGATGGATCGTCAGATTGGGAAACACTTGAAACAGCAGCCTTCATTGGATTCTATTTGATTCATCCGTTTCAAGCCATGTCTGCTGAAAAGAACTGAGGATCTGATGTGAACTCCAATAATTCCAGAAGCATCGTACGTTTTCCAATTTATTTTATTACCACCTTCCAGGCTGTGTCGCCTCAGGTGTGCTTGCTGAACCGCTTTTCAGAGAACTTGTCGTCGAAGCACCAGTTCGTAGGGCTGGACGAGTTGGGCGGTGCGCCCTATGAGAACCTCGGCGTTTCCGGTTTGGCTGGGTCCTGGGTATGGCAGTGAACATGTCGTAGGGGCCCCTGCAGGGGAACCAATCAAGTACATCTGGGATGTTTATGATGTTCCTTTTTTTTCCCACAGTGGTTTGGCTACTCATATGGCCCATTTCATTTTCAATCCCCCTCCCCCCAAAAAGGACGCAGGCCCACCCAGCCACGCTGAAACGGTGCTTTCGCTGTGCCACGTGATGCTCTCTCTGCACGCCGGCGGAAACGACCCCGGTTCACATGACCGTCGGTTTGCTGCAGGACCTTGGCTTCCTTCCGTGCCGCGGTGCTCTACCCCTACGACGTGGCGCTGGCCATCTTCTACGTGGCCTGGACCAAAAAGACGCAAGTCTCGGGGCTGGGGAGAAATTCTTCAAGTTCGATGGGGGTCTCTAGTGGTGTAGGCAAAACGACTACTTATCTTGAGCAAGATGCTACATAATTACTCTGGTGAAATAAAGATAGGTAAAACACATTCCTTGAACTCGGGCCACCTACGAATCTGGATTGGTTGTTTTCATGGTCTTGGAACTGTTTAAAAAGCAAAGATCGAGTAGAATCCGTTGCCCACAGATCAAGCGAGAATCTGTCACCCGAATCACCGAACAACGAACATGAATTGTATCATATTGTACCCAGGTAGTTGCTCAGCAGCATTTGAATCGAAGAAAGACTTCTGCAACCAACCACGTGCACAAGTGTTTTGATTTCCCCTGCCCTATGGGATTCGGGTTCAACGATTTTCACATGAGGTCGCTGCCTTTTACATTGGACACTGAGAAATTGAGATTGATGTGGGTTTCAGAGACCGTGTTCCTCTCCTGAAAGCAAGAACAAGGCGTCTTTGCTGTTTTTGCGATATATTCCATGCGAAGCCTTATTAGTGGTGGCCTACCAAACCCAACTATCTTTAAAGACACGGCTCAGGAGCTCTACACCATGTCCATGCCATTGCTCCTGCCCAGCGAGCGTTTGCTATCCTTCTACGTCTTTCGGGGACTGCACAGCAACGCCGAGTACCACTTCGTTTGGGATGAGCACCAGGCAGGAACGTCGCGTGCTTTGGTGCGTCAAACCAGTGGAAGACACTTCAGATCTGCAATTTTTGGCAAAGGACCTTGGATTTCATCATTTTTGACAAAGACAAACACATCTTCCTCCATCACCCACCCAGAAATAATACAAACAAGGCAAAATGATGCTCCTCAAACAACACCACCCTCTCTCGCCCGGACCCTCCCACCTTCAAACCCACGCTGCGCCCCGGTCCCGATTCGAGCCCCGCTGTACCGCGGACCGCGGACCGCGTACCGCGTACCGCTCGCTTTCTTTGAGGCTTCGGCCTCCGCGTGGATGGCTCCCTTCGTGCCGGCCATGGAGCCGTCGAAGTGGTTCGCGCGCGCGGCGCCCTGGAGCCTACGCACCGACTTCGCCCAGTTCCCCCACCTGCTGCGTCACGCGGACGCGATCGAACGCGTGAAGGCGGCAGCGGCACGGAAGAGGGAGCTGTTGAGTTGCGCGGGGGTGTATTTATGTGGTCGGTGTTATTGGTTGTTGTGTTATAAGTTTAACATGATCATGTGATATATATATGACAAACATATATATATATATAACTTTTACAATTGTGTAATATACCTGTTGAATGCGGGGGGGGGAAGATGGTGGTGTCTAAGTGTTGCAGAGCTGTGGGTCATTTCGGTCATGGGCGTGCAACGATCGAGTTCCAACAGAGACGAAGCACTGAATCGTGCAATCAGTCGACCTCTACGGACCTTTTTTGTGACCTCTATTTTGGAGGATCAACTATCCAACATATGGTCTTTTGCAAACAAAACAAAGGTCACTCAGGCTCTAGGTATATTATAGATGAACTTCAGGAAGCAAATCTGAATGAGTCGTGTGATGAAGACCTGGCTCTATTATAGAAGAAATATGCGGCATAATCATATTCTGGTCATTTCTAGTCTGAATATTCCTCCAATATCCGTGGCGTGGACTCAGTAATTTGGTCCGATATGTGGCATTGCACCTGTTTTGGCATTGCACCCGATGTTTCACATGCAAACATGAAGCAGCAACGGTCGACATTTGTGGGATTGATGTGTTTCACACCTCACAGCAAGAGAAGGAGGAATTCCAAGTTGGGAAAAGTGTTGGAGTATCACATACTGTCGGATAATATCCCCAATAAAAGTTCAAACATTATTCAAGCCCACATTGTACCATCAGTTAGCACATATAGAGTAGATGATGTTCTTTTGTCCTCCCAGAAAGTTACCACCGAGGTTTCAGCAGTGTGGCCGAGCTCTTTGAGCGTTTGGAGAGCTCTGACTGGGCAGAGGCGACTGGGCAGATCCATGGAGACGCAGTAAAAGAGCGAGCAGAAAAGCCTAATATCTTTAAGCATTGGACATGAGTGAACACGCATTTCTTCGTGAAACGGTGTCATTGCTTCAGCACCATGTACTGGTAGAAGAAACCCGACAGAATCAGAGGTTCCGGGCTGACGATCTGTCCCGGTCTCACATCAGCGACCGGTCACATTGGGGGTCAGCAGAAATCCTGCTCAAACACTTCCCAGACACCACGAGTCTGGGACGGATTGAAAGGGGGTTTGTCTGGGGTGGCAGTCCGGACTGCCAGTCCTCGTGTCCGAGCGGACCCGTCCGCGACACCTCCGTGGTGCTCCGCGGCCGTGCTCCAGGTGTCCCGGCAGATGAGCCGCTTCAACGAAGAAACCTTGGCACAGTCCGCCGCCTGGTGGGCCTACGCCACGGCGAAGGTCTTGGCCCGCTGAGGTCCGCCCCGCCATCGACACCATGGACCTTGGGCGGCGGCCAAAAGGTCGGCGAAAGGGGCCGAAACTGAGCCGCGTGCGGTCAAATCTGCAGAGTGAAGGTGTAGTAGAAACTCTAGGAGTTTTTGAGTGATTCATGTTGTTTCATGACGTCTTCCACGAAGGATGTTCACCTGGCCTTGGACCTTGGATGCATCTTTCTTGAAGGAGGTTTGATCAGACGTGGTCAGGGTTTCTCTGGGGTACCACTAAAACCCGTATATAACCATCTCATACCATCTCCAAAGCGACCGAACGCCCGCCCGAAAGCATGACTTGCTTGTTGACCTGGACCTCCCAAACCTCACCTCTCTCACCGTGACTCTCCCCGCATCACAGGACTCTCAGATCACAGCAACAGATTCTACACACAGAAAGGGTGGCTACAGAAGATCCTCAATGGGGAACGTCCCAAGCAGCAGAGGAGACGTCCCAAGCAGCAGAGGAGACGACCCAATTTGTTCAGTAGCATGTTCATGTTCATGTTGGTCAACCGGTCGGCCCCCTAGTTCATGTTCGGTGGTCAACCATTTCCCACTTCTGGATCACATGGTTTGGTGACCGGGAGCCAAGGTAACTTCGGCATGTCGGAGGAGAAGGCGGGCGGACCCAAGCATGGCGGACCCAGCTGCGGCCGATGGATACCATCGAAAACGGTTCTTTTTTTTGTGGGTGGATTATGTGGATTGGTTAAGAGTCAGGCCCTGAGCATGGATGACTTGCTGGAACCTTGAGTGTGGCTCCGCAGTGCTTTCATCAATCGGAAACACCAGGCACCAATAATGTATGCCATCAATGCTCTTGTCATTGTAAGCCTTTTTGAGGCTTCCAACCGCCATTAATTATTGAATGGCCTTTACCGAGCCGAATAACCACAAACAACAATTCTTTTTTCGAATCATTTTACACAACACAAGGTTGGCAAACCGGTCTCTTAAAAGGAAGGCTAGGGTATATGGTTTCAGTATGGAGTCAGCATGGAGTAGCTTGGAACCTCATCAAGAGCACTTGGAGATTCCGATTTCCTGACGTTCCGCATGGGGATGTAGAAGACGAGTTGGTTCCCCCAAAATTGGGGGGCAGGACCTGGTCTCACCAGTCATATGGGAAAACGGGACCTGCGGACCTTCGGACATGAAAAACCACTTCCTAAGCGAAGGGATCCATATGCTTCTTTTCCCGAATCCATTTCGTTTAAACCATGTGCACTTGACCAGTCCAGACACTCCATGCATTTCATCGTTCGGTTTTGAAGGTGAAAACTCAAGGGTCAACAACGGATTCATGGGGTCAACAACGGATTCATGGGGAATCATGCGAGCTTTCCTCCTTTTTTCGAACTCCGAACGCCCGACATCACGGGAGGATGCCATGCTCATCGTCTACGGCGGCGCGCTGTGGGCGCCCGAAGACCTCAGTCGTCCGAGTGGCGCGGGTGTTGGGGAGCTGAAGAATGGGAGGCTTCCATGGTTTTTGTTGGCGCAATTTCCACCAGAGAACGCTATTGGGGTTCTGTGCGCTTTGGAGCCTGAGTGCAGGTGCCGCTGCAGGGTAACGCTCCAGGGTGCTTTTGCGAGATGTCCATGGCCGTGTGTGCTTTGGAGCTGGGGTGCTGGTGCCGCAGCAGCGTGCCGCTGCAGGGTGCTCTTGCTGCCCACACTTTCTTTTTGCTATCAGGCTATAGGGGTTCTAACTTCTCAATGGTGTGGCTCTGGATGGGCGTTTTGGTTTTGCCGCTGCTGCTGCCGTGCTGGTGCTGGCTCCTCGGGATCGGCGTTTCGCTTTGCGTCATGCCAGGGATGACACCATGTCATGCCAGGGAAATGACATCATGTCATGCGAGGGATGGCATCATGTCATGCCAGGAAAATGACATCATGTCATGCCAAGGATGGCATCATGTCATGCCAGGGAAATGACATCATCTCATGTCAGGATGGCATCATGTAATGCCAGGGATGACATCATGTCATGCCAGGGATGACATCATGTTATGCCATGTGTGGCATCATGCGATGCCAGAAATGATTTCATGTCATTCCAGGGATGACATCATGTCACGCCCAGGGATGACATCATGTCATGCCAGGGATGACATCATGTCTTGCCAGGGATGGCATCATTTCTTGCCTGGTGGCATGATGTCATGCCAGGGATGTTTCGTTTTGCCTCATGCCAGGGATGACACCATGGCATGTCCAGAATGACATCATGTTATGCCAGGGATGACATCATGTCGCCTGGGATGGCATCATGTTATGCCAGGGGTGACAGACATCATGTCATGCCAGGGCATGTCGCGCCCAGAATGACATCATGTCATGCGCATGTCAGGGATGGCATCAGTGACATGATGTCATGCCAGGGGCAAGATCAAGGACATGCTGTCATATTGTCATATTGTGCATGACAGCGTGTTGCGCAGCAATTCATCATGACGTTTGGGCAGCTTTGGCTGGTCCTTGCCGATCTTGCAGTGTTTTGCGTCTGTGTTGGGCAAAGCGGGCGCAGTCAGCTGATAGATGTTGCGCATATTGATCATATATTGGTGGATGGTCCTTCGAACCTGCCGGTGTAGTTCAATACGGAACAACTACACGTTACGTTACACAAGTTCTGATGTAGGTACTACCAACGATATACTCAGTTGTCATTGCTCTCACAGTGCTGGAGCACAGCTGTATGTGGCTGTGATGCTAAACGTTCGACGCACGTTTTCTGCAGTTTTTTGGCTTCCACTCATGCGATTCGACTCCAGTCAACACGCACTTGCTAAGGCTGCTAAGGACTCTTCAACACATCAACCACTCAACAGCCCAAAGTTTATTCTTTCATTTGCTTGGTGTATACAGCCAGCCAGGTTCCATACCTAGCAGCCAGCGGTAGCGATCACTTGCCCGAGTCCCTATTGAGAGGGGCGTAGAGCTTCCTCCACATGCCAACCAGCAACGCACGACGGCCCCAGCCCGCACCATGTAGGACCGAGGGCAACCCGAACATGTCGATGATAGAAGTGACGTAGAGCCAGCCAACAGCTAAAAGCAGTACTATCAAAAACAAGGTCAGGGACGTTTATGGGCACTCATTTGAGCAAAAGGTTCAAAGAGGTGTTTTGGTTTGGATCACCGACGCCGACATGGGCAACAACATCGTGTGAAACAATCCGTAACGCTGTCTGTCACAACGGGGCGCGCTCTACGCACTATGCCATCTCGTCCAAAACTGACAGCGGTTGTGAAATCCGACAGTAATGATCGAGATCGTTGCTGAATGAGCTGCGAATTCAGTAGCCCCGTTCAAGTATGCAGTCCGCGTCATCTCAGGTCAGCTCAAAGCAGTTGGAAGCGAATTAGAGGCACAGCTCAGCCGACTCCATGGTGACCCCTCAAAAACTCGCCAGTGCCACAGCCTCAACACCTAGATGCCACAAGCGTGACAGTTGCCTACAGAACCTCAGTTGCACTCTTTAGATACCAGCGTAGCTTTAAGCTGCGTGCTGACAAGATCCAAGTGTTGCGTTGGAATCCCCGAGCAGATGGTCGTCCAAGCATCAACAGCCAAGGACCTTCAAAGTGACTTCTTTGCAGTGTCAAAAAGTGACCTTTTCTGGGCCTAAGTGACTTCATCCTGGGATATCAAAAGGTCCTGGAGCGCAATAGATCGGATTGCAAACATTTTTCCAGCCCCGTAATCCCAAGGCTGGCGAACTACTTGGTGCTGCCTCTGGTGAAGTTGTTGGGCATCGGTTTGGGTTTTTCGTGCGGGGCCAAGTGAAGGCGCTGATCAGCCATGGGTTCCCTCCACTCTTCCACTCCCCCTATCTTGCGGAATGTTGTGGCTCTGAATGAGGAGTTGCGCTTGAAGCGACCGCTGGAGAACCAAATAAAAATTGTCACTGGAACGTGGGTGGCCACCCCCCCGCACCCACACGATCCTACAGATGACGCCCACCATGCCATGGTAGGTCCATGCACATTCTTCGGGTTTTGGTCCATGCAGCAATTCGAGGCTTTACCACTTCGTGAACTTGGTCGTTGGCTATGCTGGGGAACCTGAGCTGCGGAAACGGAGATGAGATGCTCCACGAGCCTGATTTGTTTTGGCAAAATGCTTGGTGAACGGTGGACAACTCGGAGACATTCTTGGAACCTTCGAGTGATGTCCACCCTGAAGTTCTCACCACATCGTGTCTCGACAAACGATGTTTAGAAAGTCATTGCATCAGCCACTTGAGATGACAGAAACACCACCTCAACAAATTTATCATTTTCATCACGGGTTGGTCCAAGAACACATAGGCATAGCGAACACTAGCATGGACCCTGAGAGCGGCGCCGGCACCCTCAAAGACTGTGTTCCTCTACAAACCAGTGGTTTTCAGGGTCTATGTTAGTTTTCAGTGGGGTAGGCATATCGGACAATTGTTCGTTTCCAATCCAACTCGCTGGACCAGGTATGGATATACATATAGTTATTAAAGGCTTACGCCTAACAGCCGGGCGCCGGCCCACTTGGGTCTGTGGGGCGTATGTCACGCTTATGTTGGCCTTGGTGGGGCCTATATTGAGCAAAGTTAAGCTATCTGGCGCGCATCTTCGCCCTAGGTTGGGCCAAGTTGGGCCCATGTGGTCTATGTTGGGCACATCTTGGGCCCATGTGGAGCCTATGTTGGCCTATGTTAGGCGTATGTTGGCCTATGTTTGGGCCTATGTTGGGCCTATGTTGGCGTATGTTGGCCCCATGTTGGCCTATGTTGGCTCTATGTTGAGCCATCTTGGAGGCTATGTTGGGCATATGTTGGGGATATGTTGGCTATCTTGGGCCTATGTTGGGGATATGTTAGGCAATTTATGTTGAAAAAAATCTTCCGATACAACTTTTTACGGTTTTTCCTTCCCGCAAAGCAAAAACCATGAAAAAACCTAGGTTTTTCGACATCGCCAAGATGAAATTCTCGGCTGCCGAGGGGCCCGAAACCCTGTAAAACACAGTGTTTTTTATACCTCACACACACACACGATACACTGTAAATTACAGGGGCATCAGTTGACAGGAAGTGACCTGGGGGTCCCCCCGTTTTGGGACCGAGGGTCGGCGGCGCCCAGGGCCAGCGTCTATAACCTTCGGTTACCACGGAAGGCCCTCCGGGCAGGGCACGGGCTTCGTGGCCGGCGCCCGGATTGTAAGGGCTCCGCCCGGGTGCCGCCGACCCCTTTTCATCTCGAGGGTTTGGCGGTTGAACCTTGACAACTTCCTGGGATTCAACAGCGAGACTTGGATGGGCTTCACACCAATGCTGGCATTCAACCAGCTGCCGAGAAGAGGGCAAGGCTGCGGTGAGGCTCTGGGGAGCGTTTGAAGCCGAGCCAAAATGCCTAACGTTGCCTTCGGAAGCCCATAAGAAGAGAGGAGGCAGGCTTCAGACAGGCCACAGAGAGGCCGCAAGAGGCCTGCCGGCTGCCGAGAGGCTTTTGAAGCCGGTCCAAACAAAATGCCTAACGTTGCCTTCGGAAGCCCATAAGAAGAGAGGAGGCAGGCTTCGGACAGGCCACAGAGAGGCCGCAAGAGGCCTGCCGGCTGCCGAGAGGCTTTTGAAGCCGGTCCAAAATGCCTAACGTCGCTTTCGGAAGCCCATAAGAAGAGAAGAGGCAGGCCTGCCAGCTGCCGAGAAGAGGGCAAGGCTGCGGTGAGGCTCTGGGGAGCGTTTGAAGCCGAGCCAAAATGCCTAACGTTGCCTTCGGAAGCCCATAAGAAGAGAAGAGGCAGGCCTGCCAGCTGCCGAGAAGAGGGCAAGGCTGCGGTGAAGCAAGCCGAGCCAAAATGCCTAACGTTGCCTTCGGAAGCCCATAAGAAGAGAGGAGGCAGGCTTCGGACAGGCCACAGAGAGGCCGCAAGAGGCCTGCCGGCTGCCGAGAGGCTTTTGAAGCCGGTCCAAAATGCCTAACGTTGCCTTCGGAAGCCCATAAGAAGAGAGGAGGCAGGCTTCGGACAGGCCACAGAGAGGCCGCAATGAGGCCTGCCGGCTGCCGAGAAGCTTCGGACAGGCCACAGAGAGGCCGCAAGAGGCCGAAAAGCTTTTGAAGGCGGTCCAAAATGCCTAAACGTCGCCTTCGGAAGCCTGCCGAGAAGAGGGCAAGGCTGCGGTGAGGCTCTGGGGAGCGTTTGAAGCCGAGCCAAAATGCCTAACGTTGCCTTCGGAAGCCCATAAGAAGAGAGGAGGCAGGCTTCGGACAGGCCACAGAGAGGCCGCAAGAGGCCTGCCGGCTGCCGAGAAGCTTCGGTAAACGTCGCTTTGGGAAGCCGATAAGAAGAGAGGAGGCAGGCTTCGGACAGGCCACAGAGAGGCCGCAACAGGCCGGCCAGCTGGTGAGGCCTCGGACAGGCCTTTGGAAGTGCTTGGAAGGGTTCTGCTAGGCTTGGCCAACTGCTGCATCCTGCGCCTTTGGAAGTGCTTGAAGGGTTCTGCTAGGCTTGGCCAACTGCTTCACCCTGCGGTGTCCCAGGCGCCTCCCCGCCTAGGCTTTGGCTATAGGCCGGGGTCGGCGGATATTCTGCAGTTCGATGCTTGCCCAGCTATGCCTTGCTATTGGATGGAACCCACTGGTTGAAATCTAGCTAGTCTTCCACTGAACTGCACTAATTTTTTCTACTAGAAAAGGCTCTTTGGAACCTCGACTCATGAAGTCACTCCCACAAGGAGCCATTTGCTACAGGGCGGACCTCCCCTTCAGACCCTTCTGCAGGGCATCGGCCGGTTTGGTATCTTCAACATGGAGAAGTTGACCGGAAATGTGGAGGCCACGGGTCGTTGGATGACGGCCTTTTCTCAGCCACGGTCGTGGGAGTCCAGACGAGCAGACGAGCACGAAGCCTTTCGGCAGAATGGGTGGGCTAAGTTCGCGGGGGATTCACGTCCGATGGCGGGTCGATGCAGGGCGGAGGTCCTCACGCTCGGGGGACGCTCGAGGGGTGCAAATCGTCCGCGCGTTTGCAGATCTGCGACATTGGCTGCTGCCTCGCCACTTGGTGACCCGGAGGAGGAGAGAGGAGTGACCCGCCCCTCCTAAGAAGCAGACATGGCGGACCTCCATAAGGGGTGTCTATTTATAGCCCCTTAGCTGTTAAGGGGTGTCTATTAACCATCCCTCGGCGTCCTGGTAGTAGGTAGTCCTTGCGAACATGAATCAACATGGACATCTGCAGCCCAAGCAGATCTTTTCAAAACCGCTGGGAGGGGGAAAGGAACTTTGAAAGCTCATGACCTTGCTCGGTGACCGATCTCGTTCACACTCCGACTCGACCGACGCAAAGACGGCGTCGACCGACGCGTCGGTGACGAGCGACGCGTGGTGAACTGAACTCGTGTGCCGATGGATGAGTTCGGGTGAACTCGTGTGGATGGTCAACCATACGAAGTGTTTTGGGTGCTGAAGGACTTGTGACTCGCGTCTCTTGAGACCTAAAACAGGACAAACCCTTCTCCAACCCCTTCGAATCCGTGTAACATGTCGAATCATGTCGACACCTAAGTTGCGGTCAGATTTCCACACCTGAAAGCCTTATAAGATCTTACAAGTAATATAAACTTAAACGGGTGTGGAAATCTGACCGTGCTGTACCTGCCAGGCAAAATGGACGGGTCAATCCGATCCGCTGTAGAACGCAAGTGTCATGTTGGAACAGAGTAAGAAGCGTAAACTTTAGGGTTCTTGAAGTATCCCAGACGCGACCTGTCTGGTACTGGCATATAGGACTGCCGAGAAACGGCCAGGGGTGGTGCCAGGGGGGTCTGGCTTGATCGGCAGTCCTATGGCAGTCCCAGACAGGTCGCGTCATGTGTCGCGTTTTGGAGGTGGAGGCGGAGCCATGCATGGAGCCATGCATTGGTGCACACTCGACCGGTCTAACAAGTTCCTTTCACGTTCTCCAAAGAGGCTGGCCGCCACCCTACCAGAGTTCAAGATGTTCAACAAGTGTTGCATTTTTTTTGACAAAGCACATGATAGCGGCTATTGGTTAAGAGCCGTAGAGATGTCCAACTAACGAAAAGGCCTTGAATTCTTCAAGTGCCGATGTTCACCAGGGCCACAGGTGTGACTGTGACTAGTCTTCACCCAACCCCTCTAAGCCACAATTTGGGGTGAAACCACCACGATTCACTGACGATGAAGCTGCGAAATTCAGCTGATGCAGTGCTATCAGCCAGTTGTTTTGCTTGGGACCTGCAGAACAAAAGCCTTCCCGAGGCCTCCCAAGGCCTTCCAGGATTCCATTTGGTCGACCAACTGGGGGAACGAGCCGGGTCTATTGAGTGGGTCGTCTGGTCATGTTCCCCACAGGAATCATAAAATTTCAAACCAAACGCAGGACGACCCGGTAGAGTGCGTAGAGCTTTTCTTCCGCAGGTCCAATTCAGGTCCAATCTAGGCCCTAGGCTCATGACCAGGCTGACACGGCCGGAAGGTCATGGGTGTCAAGGCCTCTGGGGGGGGTCCCCATGCTTGGTAGAATTCCTGGTCGATCCAGAAGCGATTTTCGCAACAGAGAGGCAACACCTACAGGTCCAGTCTGATTTCCGGATGAGCTGTTGAACATCCAGGTCTTGGTCTCCTTTGTCATCATGGTCTTCGTCGAGGAAGCGGGCGACAAACAGCAGGACCTGTCCGACCGGCAAGGCCTGGCGGAGTCCACCCAAGACGAGCTGACGGAGGGTGGACGTTCAGAGCAGCAGAGCAACCAGGCGAGGCGGAGGGGCGAGGAACGGAACGCGGGTGGAAGGAGGGCGAGGAATGGGGGAGGAATCCTACTCGGAATGGCCTCCAAGCTACTAGGAATGGCTTCCAACCTACTAGTGGGTAGAAGCTGCTGGGGTAGGAAAAGGGGGCCCATGATTTCCTTGTGACTGCTTTTGGGCTGTTAGAGTTTTGGAAGCTAGGATGCTGAGTGGCTTGTTGGGCGCCATGTCGGCGTAGGAAGCTTCGATTGAACGTTTCCTTCAGCTTGCTCCAAGGTTGCCGGCACCCGAAGCCTGATGAAGCAGGGAATCATCCTTACAGGGGATCATCCTGCTTTAGTGAGCCATGATCAGTGTCTGATCATCCAGACATCCCTATCCCTGGTTCTCCCCAAAGTATGAACGCACTTCAGGGCGGTGTCAGTGTGATTGACCGCAATCTGATCGTTACTTGGAGTGTTTGTATTGACCCAACTCGAGTCGTTTGGAACCAACCATGGGACATGACATCAAAGATCGATCTCGCCAGTCATCATGTTCTGTTCAGTCCTTGGATTGTCGCATCTTCTTCCTCACTCTTCCTTTTCCGAACCTCCAATCGCTGCGAACCGATGGGTTCAGTTCATCTGGATTTGGAGAATGGGGATATGCATGGATATGCTGATATGCTCTCCTCAAAGACCCGCAATCCGAACCTCGAACGTCGCCTGAATTCGCCCGAACTTGGTGCGCGCCGGAGGACTTCCGAGAAAAGTACACGCGCTGGCGCGAAGATCACGTCGCTTGCCAGGATCGTGCGCTGGTGGGAGTGTACACTCCAGGAGAATGGTCATCCATTCAGGGACATCCAACTCTGATCGGTTCATTGCTTATTCGATTGCTTTAGATGCGTTTGGCACGCCATCATGAAAATTCCGCAGATCAAGTCTAGTGTACCTTATACCGTACCAGTTCGGTTTGACTATGGGGAGGCCACCCAAGCCACCCAAGATCATCACGAGACGGGTCGTTCCGGTCCTTCGTTCTCGGGTCCACCGCGGCACCGGCGCCGCGCTCGGCTCGGCTCTCAGGTGGCCCCCGCGCGGCGGCACTCGGTGATCGAGGCCGCTGGTACCGTACTGGTCTCGTGCGCACCGGGAGATGGGGGGGGCGGGAGTACCGTGGCCGAGGAGGGGTGGTGGAGGGTGAGGAGGGGGGAGGGTGAGGGGTGGAGTCGTGCCGTTTCAGGGGGGTTTCGTTTCAACCAAGTGGGGCTAAGCGCTCGGTGCACGTGCGTGACCCGCCCCCAACCACGTTGGAGTCCCAGTCTCGCATGATGCGAGGTATTCCACCGGTGAGACAGGCGGCCAATTGAAGTCCGTGGGCGGCTTCTCAGTCGCCCAGCCGCCACGGCTGGTGGCGCACAGGCGCGGAGATGAGGGAAGACTCGGAAGACTATTTCTTTTTCACGTACTGGGGCGCACACAAGGGCTTGTGTCCAACACTCATTGCACATCATTGCACGCCTGGATGCCTGAAGGTTGCTTGTATACGGGTCTTCCCATATTGCCATGTTGGTTTCAGATTCCCGTGTGCAGGAAACACGGGAGCCTCAATATGGCACCCAGGGTCAAAGGAGCAACCTAGAAACACTCATGACTCATGCAGCCATGCGTGACATCATGACTTGAGATATGTTGATCTTTACCAGGCACGTCCAAGGCACGACGAGACGTTTTTTTTTTTTCTGGGTCAAGCACGACAGGATTCAACACACACCAACTCATGAGTTGCTTGGATCATCTCCAATCACTTCCAAAGAGACACTTGAGGAGGTTTGAGGTCGAACGGCCAGGTGGTGGTGATGAGATTTCTATTTTTTTTCGAGAACGGCCACAAGCCAGTTCCATTGGAGTTCCTGGCATCATGGAGGACCTTCTTCAGAACTGAGACGGCCCATGGTGCGGTGCCCCCTTAATCTTCCACTTCCATCACTGGTCCAAGGGTAGCAAGTAGAGAACTCCCCCCAAACTCCTCCAGATGGGTCTAGTGCTGGAAGACCTCCCGAGCCTTTTGGGCATCTCCAGCCGGAGCCTCCAGCATCCTCCAGCATCCAACCGCCTCGCTGTCCGGCTGCCGCGCGCGCTCGCTCCGCGCGCGCGCGCGTGCGCGCGCGTGCGCGCTAGAGGCCCGAGGAGCCGAGCTCCGAGGCGATGCCCAGTGATCTGGAGGCGGCAGGCCCGGGGGGGGGGCTGAAGATGGTGCAGAAAGGAGAGAAGCCTTTTCCGTGTTTTGTTCGCCACCATGGGCCGCCAGTATACTAAAGATAGATAAAGGATGTAGTAAGGAGTTGCAGGCCCCATTCGATCCGAATTGTGGCATCCCTTAGCTAAACGACCCTCCTTCTCGTAAACCAAGATTTTTTCAAGTGGTGGTGCGCGGCGCATGGGACCATCTATGGAACCATTTGACATCTTTCAGCTTTGATTGATTTCGATCGCCTTTTCACCATTTCACCTGACCGGTCTGACCGGCGCCGCCAGTTCACGCCAGGCGACTTAGAGGTCCGGCCGCTTGGTATCTTTGGGAATTTGGACACTGGAAGTGGGATCAATGTAGAAAAACGTAGAAAGGATCGCTCAAGTCGATCTAACTCCTTTGGAATGATTGAGAAACCACAGATTTGGCAAGGTATGGCCAGTCCTATCTATCTCTTGGCAAGGTATGGCAAGTTTCTTTTTTGGGGGTTTTGGAACTACTTGGAGCACCCTTTAGAACTATTTCTATAGAGTGTAATGATTAAAGTGTGATTCCGAGCTTTAACTTGGAACTGTATCTTGGGTTTGGTTGGCCTGATGAAGAAAGCGATGGTTTGGTAATTGGTTCAAGTTTCTTTGACTGGGCAGGGACATGTCATGGCCAAAAACACACCAATGCAAGATGCAAGATTTGTCCATAGGCAGATGAGTAGATCGCAGGGGAAAAGTCTCTTTCGCAGCACTTTAGTTCACTTGGGCTCAACCATTCGACGCTCTGCTGAAACGATGTCGAGACATCAATATCCATTTAAGGAGCTGTTTTGCGACAACGAACCCCGTGTGACAGTCGTAGCGCCTGGTGAGCTGCTTCGCCAGCATCAAAAGAAATACTTCTTGTTTGGAGACAAATCCGCATTGGTCCGGTTTGAATCTCTCTCTGTCAGTTCCACTTGCAACATTTGTGTACAGCGGATCGATATAGGTTTTGATGACGATGGGGATGCGGGTGACGATGATGATGAGGATGAGGATGAGGATGACGATGAGGATGATGATGATGATGATGATGATGATGATGATGAGGATGACGATGATGATGATGATGATGATGATGATGATCATGATTATGATTATGATTATGATGCTGCTGCTGCTGATGATGGCGACGATGCTGATGATGATGACGATGCTGATGCTGCTGCTGCTGCTGCTGCTGCTGATGATGATGATGATGATGATGATGATGATGATGATGATGATGATGA